AAGCGGGGCAGAGAGGCTGGACGGGCCACGAGCAAGCACGGTGCCCGCTGTCCCGGCAGCTGCCCAGCACCGCCTGCAGAGCGCGGGGCCATGTGGTGGGGACGGAGGCAGCTCTGGGCCTTTGAGCACCACAGGAGGGTCGGGCAGTGGGGGTAGGACTGGCCCTTGCTCACGGTGGGAGCTGTTCTCACAGCGCTTGCTCTGGTCAGACCGGAGCGTGTTTTGGAATTAACCAAATCACCGGGGTGGCCAAGATCTAAATTTGTCAACTGGAAATGCAGGAGGAGTTTCACTTTGCTTCCTTTTCTGGTTCACGTAAGCAGGCAGCTCGACTCGGCCGTCACGTCAGCTTTGGATTTTGCATGGTTTTGTGCAAGATGCTTCTCCTGCAGCAACTGCAAATGCAACCAGACCTGGGGGAGTGCAGATCGTGGCTGGAGGCTGAGGCCGCCCCTGTCCCGTGCAGAGTCTGCACTTGTGTGCGTGCTTCTTCCTTCGCCTCGCAACAGGCAGCGCTGTGTCTGCATCCTGGGCAGCTGTGAGATGGCTGCGTGTGCTGCTAGACAAAGTAAGAACTCTGATTTTCTCTATTTTTTTTTCCCCACCAGAACTTTAATAATGATAAAACCGGCCTTAGAAATGCTGTGCAAAAACTGATGTCCGTGGGAACTGCTGCACCATGGACCATAGAATTTTCATGCCATAGTTTGTGAAGCCTTCTAAATCGCCTTCTAAAGCCAGATCAAACGGTGTATGCACAGAGATGGAGCTTCTTCCCTCTTAAAGCCTCTGGCTCATATTCTGCGGTCTTGTACTGCTGCTTCCCGGGCATGGCGGTGCTGCGGCAGTGGATCCCACCTGGCCCCGGGCTGGGTGACGCTCCTGGGACAAGAAGGTGCTTTGGGAGAGACAGGGCAAGGCATGAATCCACCTGAGCACCGACCCGAGGTGGGGGAATGTCCCCTTCCGCTGGTGAGCAGTCGCTCTCTTCTGTCGCTGGTGTTGCTTCTGGGCTGAGGTGTCTCTTCTCTGCTGACAGGGGACAGCTGATGGTAGCGGACACTGCTTCTGGGCGCTGACAGGAGCGTTCTGAGCTTCTGGGAACTCTGTACATACTGCTGCAAATTTGGCTTTACTTGCCAAAAGCTGTTGCTGTTGTTTACATATTTCAAAGTCCCAACCTTAATTCCGAAGCTGTTCAGCGAGCATCAGTGGTTCTTGCATTTGGTGGGAGTTCAGGTTCTGACTCTTATGCAGAAAGGACATGGGATTGTGCTGATTTAAAGACATTTTTATTAAGCTAGAATTACTTACTCTAACTGTTCAAACCTGATGAATTTCCGGACTTAAATAGCTTATGGAGTGTGGCTTGTCGAATAAGAAGATTACAAGCTGGGCTTTACTTAACAAGATTTTTAGAAATACGAAGCACAAATATTGAAAAAGGCTCAACACGTAGCAGTCCGCTGCGTTGCCTGGGAGTCATTAACTCTGGAGTTGTTTCTGCTGCAAATCTGTGCTTGTGATTTATTGCTGAGGCTCCCCGGGAGCGCTGTCGAGGCTGCTGAGGCGGCTGCCATGCATCCGGTCCCATCACTGCTGGGTGCGGTGGGGTGACTGCCAGCCCGTACCCGCCAGTGCCCAGCGGAAGGCACGGCACACCCCGGTGTCACCCAGCACTGGCACAGCACGCGCTGAAATGCATCGCCGGAAAATCGGAGCGAGCTGGTGCTGGCACTCGCCCTGGGTCGCTCCTGGGAGGTGTGCGGGAGCCAGGCCGGGTGGGTTTGGGCATCGCCAGGGGCTCTTGCTTCGACTCTTACCTACGGTTAAACTGCTGGGGAGCGAGAGCTTCCGGAGGAGTTGCCAGGCATGCACAGAGCCAGTTACATTATGTTTTAAAGATGGACCTTACTTTAACTCCAAATTGCAGCCTGAATTACAGCGTTGTCTTTTCTGAGAAATCTTGCAACGTCTGCTGTGTAAGCCCGACGCTGGGGATGCCAAAAAGCCCCCCTTTTTTGGTTGAGGGGGACAGCCCCTGTGTGACCAGCCCTAGCGCCTGGTGAGCTCGGACCTGAACACGGGCTGGAGGTTTTAGACTGCAAATGAGTACGTTTGAGAAATACACATTGAGAGAAATTCTATTTATTTTGTACAAGGTAGAATACCTTTGCACGTTGAACAAATATATTACAAATCTGTCTTGCCTTAAAAAAGTATTGCCATTTTGGTGCCTGTTTCCTAAGCTAATGCTAATATACAAGATGGTACTTTTTCGTTGGTTTTGTTTGTTTTTTTCCTGTGAAGCTCTATGCACACTGTTGCGTTTGGTTTGAAAATACAGCTTTGGGAAAAAAAAAAAAAAGGACCAAAACTGAGCATATCTCTGCTCTCTGGACTCCCATCGCGGACTTTACAGCTACACAGACACACGTTGGTCAGGCCGGCAGCTGAGGCTGCTTGTGCTAGGTGTCAAGGTAGGTCTCTGACAAGAGTAATTCCCTATCGAACTGCCTTTCTCTTGATATTTTTTTGAGGTAAGTCTTTCTATTCATGTACATAAAATATATCCCTACTGGCCCTACAAAATAATTGTCTACTTACATCTCAAATAAGGCTTTCCTGGAAAAGAAAAGGACTATTGCTGATCGGTCATTGCCCCCATGCACACATGCAGCATTCGTGGAACTACTTGGGCATTATCCTGCAACGCGGAAATCTGCTGCTCCGGAAGCCGGGGGTCCCTGGGCTCCGCTCGGCGTCTGGCTGCAGAGCTCTGGGTTGGTGTGGAGGGGTGCTGGGGGTTTCCAGCCCCATGTGAGGGCTGAGCCTGTCTGTGGGGACACGGGCTGGGCCCCAGCAGGGTGAGCCGGTGCCTGGTCTCACTCCGTGCTGGGATCGAGCCGCTGCCGCCGAGCGGGAAGGCTCCTCTCGCCAGTCCCCTCGACCAGCGGGTTGCGCGAGTGATGGTGCTCTGAGCAAACTGATTGATGCTGGTTCCCTTCTCTTCTGCTTCCATTGCATTGGTGAATGTGCAACAGAATTCTTATATTTAAGAGGCAATCAACTTACTACTTCCACATTTGCCTAATAAAATTACATACTTAGAATCAATACTATTTCATGCTCAAAATCTACAAGGAACTGCTTAACGGCAAGGATTCTACTTTCTAGGTCAATAAAGATTACAAAAAAAAAAAAAGAAACCATGATGGCTTAGTCCAAAACTTTGCCATGCGCCAACTCCTTTGTAATTATTTCACAAACAGCTGCTGAAAAAGAAAACCCAGTTTCAGCTCTGTTTAATGACATTTCAGGTAGAATCACCAACGGGTAAAGTTGCACTACATGGTAATGCACATCAATTTAAAGGGCGTCGTAAATGGCGTGTTGCGAAGTGACACAGGATGGGATGGTTTGCAATGATGGTCTAGAGAAGCTGACGTGGCGTAGCTTTAGGAAAGGAAACCAAAGCAGGGTTAGTCTGTGCAAACCTGCAGCGTCCCAGGGGAGTAAAGGAAGGTGCATCAGTTTACACCAACTGACAGATCTGGTGGA